GTTTTACATAATGGAAAGGCAACATTTTTATAAAAAATTTAAATTTTTCACCATTTTTTATTGTTATTATTATTTAATTTTTACTTTTTTTAATGACAACTTGTCTTTTAATCCAAAGGAGATTTTTTTTTAGAATATCATCTTCGATATATAGTAAAGTTGGTAATTAAATTTTGTACGCTTAGAACTTTTATGTGTTATATAAGTGGGTACTTAAGTATTAAAATATTTGATAAGCAGACTAAAGTGATAAGTGCCCCGAATAATGTTAATCCACTATACCTACTCCGCTCATTACAACATTAAGCACTTGTAACTATTGTATATTAGTATACCTGCTTGTCCTATAAATTTGATTTTTATAAATATAAACATTCCGAATAACATTTTGCTTCGGAATATGAAATTAAAAATGAATATTGTAATTCAAAAGAGTAAAAAACTTAAAGAGAGTCTAGGTTATTCGATTTCGAAATAAAATATCAAAAATCGATTTATGGGAATTCGCTAATTTGCCGATGAAAATGCTATACTACTTTTCGTAAAAAAATTCACCTCAAACGCTTATAAAAATTAAAATTACTTTCTGGTAAACTTTTTTTTTTGTTTAAAGTAGATAAAATTTTGGGGAATCTTCTACTAACATTTTTAATGTTAGCTATGGTCTAGCTGAATGGTTAAATATTTCCCTTTTTTCATTTTCTTTTAATATATAAAATTATTGAGTTATCTATCAAAAACATAAAACCACATCATCACTGATCAAGTTCTCTTCTATATTATTCATTGAGCATTGCCAAAATATAATGAATTACAGCGTGTCAGTGTCTATATAATTTCAGCTACAGATCTTTGTTCGTCGATCGTTATTTGATTTTATTGTAACTAATAGAATACATATTTTTAAACACCTTGAGGGTAGTTTTATATGGCCACAAATTAATTATATTTGTCATAACTCATAATTCTATGAACAAAACATTTCTCCTAAGCCATATGTTGTGCCAACATGCTATTGTTTCAATATTTTTATACAGTAAAATAAAATATTATATAGGTATTTAAGGATTTAGATAGGCAACATAATATACATTTGTTTATACTATTGGTACCAAACGCCTTAAAAATTAAACACTTCGTAAAATATGTAATAATAATGTTAAAATTCAGTTATTTTTAAACTATTAAAATTTTTAAGCAATCATATCACTTATCGATAACGCAATAAAATTTCGTAGACATAATAAGAAATTAAACACGACATACATGATAAAAATACAAGCGGACCCACGTCCTATCTAGGTATACACTATACTATAAACTAATTACTAATTAGTTATTACTCATTATAAAGACAGGTGTAAATAACTACACTTATTTTATAAAAATCTAGTGGTATATCATAAAGTTTCAATTGACCTATTTGAAATGTAAGAATCATTTCACTACAGACTACAGCATTCATAAGCTTCGGAGTAATTCGGATGGATTCATTTTTAAAAACATTTCACCAGGTCCTAATCAGATATTATATTGTAAAAAAATCTAACCATATCATTATTATGTTGTACCTATGGGTAAACATGAGTTCAACTAAAAAATTTAAAACGGGATAGTATTGTGAAATACTTGGAATATATGACCAATAATTATTGAAGATAAAAAGTTCATCAAAATATTTCTGTTAATTTTATATTTATTATATTTTATATTTTATTGAAGTTTGAATAGGTACGTTTTAAATTGGATAGTCTGGGATAGAGTAATTTGTATGAATACCAACCTCTTGAGATTTCTCACATTTTTATCATGGTTTCAACTTGAATCTCAATTAACATAATTTTAAATTATCTACTCCACTTGTTGGTTGGTGAGGAATGAGCACTATTGGCTGTTATATACATTTTACGGATGGTTTTTAGACCGTTTGGCGTTTGTTCTATACCTCTATGTAGGTACATTTATATTATTTTATTAGATACGTTAAAGAAAATAAATAGTAAAATTCGTTAAATTTGACAATATTGCACAATAATAAAATTAATTAACCTACCACTGATAAAGTTAAATAATGTAAGAATAACACATATAACGCGTCAAAGGTCAACAGTTTAATTAAATAGTTTCACGGATACTTTCGATGTCTAGACAGGAATATATTCGATAACGGGTACCAATTTATTTCCATTTATTATCATTGTACTAAAAATTAATTTTAAAATATCAGACGAGATGTCACGTAAAAATCTATTGACCCTGCATGAACAATTCATCATATATCATTGTTTACGTGCAATATATAATATAGATAGGTGATAGCTATTATAATGTATAATGCAATAACTTTAATTCTTAGTTTTTATTTAAATCATCGATCGATCTATACCGAACCAAATTATTATGACCATAGGCGCTCACTGCAATATTTCTGTAAGTAAACATTTTTCCCTACGACCTCTTGCCCAATGATAATATTAATTGTAATCAACTTTCATGCGATTTATGATTAATATTAAAATGATTATAGTTCATACCTACAAAAACAATTAATTAGCAGATAATAACAATAAGATATACTATTTTTGTACTTTACGACTTATGTGCTCTACAAGATTGAGGATACTATTATACTTTAATTATTCGGATAAGGGGGTTTTACACTTTTATTATATATTATTTGAACAATGTTACAACGGGAAAATATTGCGTTTTAGATTTATCTACAAACCAAGCTATAAACTAATCTATAAAAGTACAATAAGTATAATATTGACTTCATAGTACTAGATGGCATATGCTAAGGATGGGCAATCATTTCTGTGTAAAAACTTAATTTTTTATTTGAAATGCACTATAACCACGCAATTGAACTATTATTTATACTGAATTCGGAATTTCGTATGTCAGTAATTTAGCAGAAAGTTACAATTTAAACTAGGTAAATTATCTTTATCATTTCTGTAGAACTGATATTTTAAATTTTTTTTAAATCTATAATAAATATTTTAATCTCCTCAAACATTTGAAACTTTTCAATAATACAAATTAATGTATATATAGATTATTTTCTTAACACTGAAACGGCCTTTCATTAAATTTCGAAAACCGTTTACCGGTTTATTTTTCCGATACCTGCAACGCCTAGGACTTATTTAAAAATATAATTAACAACCGCATACACAACACTATGCCTATCTTTGTTACATAACTTATCAGATCTTGAAGTTATTCCTCTCGTTTATCATTTAAGCGTTGAGTGTAATTTATTTAATGAAAAGTTAAAAAATGGCTATAGAGCCATATTGAAAATTGAAATCCGTTTGAATTTATCGTTTTTACTTGCATCATCCACTTGTGTCCGATACGATCTCATATGGTTTCAATTATTATACGATAAATTGTATTTTATCTGATCGAACAAACCGACTAACGATACACTTATATATGACGGCCAGAAAACAATAAAATATGTAAGGAGAGATCGATAATATCTTGTTCTCAGAGATTAGTGAAAACATGATAATATTATACCACGTACAATATTGTATCATTTAGAGTTTAGACAGCCGACGGTGGCCGGACACCACCAGTGGCGACAAGCTGTCAGAACACTCGTCGTTATTTTTTTACAGCCATAATAAAATAAGCGTGCGTCGCGTGCAGCGTTTATAAGTATAACGTATAAATTTATAGTATTATAAATTGTAATACATTATCAATATACTTAGAGTAGGTACCAACAATATCGTTAACAACCTTATATTATAGCAGCTCTCGACCGTGTGTGTAGCCGTTTAATACTATAAATTATATTACTTAACAATTGTGACTAGGTAATAAAGTATGGAGGTATTTTTCACCACGACAGACCCGTTAAATTGGTCTCGACTATAATAGTCCTTTATCCATTGACATTGAGTTTTTTTCTTATTTTGTTTGCGGATTTTCACTTAGTTACTATTAGATCGCTGCAAATGATCTGCCCGTTTGATTCGTTGACGAATTTCCGCTGACCTGTGGTACTGAACATAATAAATTAATATGGCCTATAGGTATACCAACATAATATTATAATATATTAGACTCATATAATATTATTATATGAGTGTGTGTATGTGATATCGTCATGCACGGTAATACTCTATTCTAGTATAACTTGATTAAACATTTACTAACACGAAAACTTCTGCAACCGTTAACGTTCCAATAATAATCGGAGATATTAATACAAGCGGTAAAAATCAGGTATTGTGATAATTGACAAGTGACAATCAAAATATTAAATATCACTACCTGTACCAGAAAGTAGAAAACTAGATTGTGAAATCAAAAACACAAATAATTTAAAAACGTATCTAGGTACAGATATTTTTTTCAATATATTTGTAATCTGTGCTTGTGGTAACGCCATTTAAACACGAGTTGCGTTCGCACGTAGTAATTTGATGATATCTAACTAGGTATTCAAATTGGGTCTACAGTCATAATAGGTGGTCGTCTTAATATTTGATCTTAATAGATTGTTAAATATTTAATTATGTAAAATATTAATGAATTATTGACAGCAAAAATCCAACCTTTAAGTAGTAACGCTAATAATAGGATGGGCTAACCCAAACTAGTTTTCAAATTTGGGTTCCAACTGGAGGTTTCCCTAATTAATATATCTTGTATATAGATGACAATCTACATCAAAGCTATTCAGTAGGGCGTTATTAGTCCACCTTCACACACATATAATAGTACAATAGTACATCCTACATATATAGTATAATATAATCACTCACAAATTGGCTCACTAAAAAATCAAACTTACAGTCCATAGGTTTATTACGCACCCTGATACATTTTTTGAAAAATACAGTAATATAACGATTAAGAAAATATGTGTATTGTCTAATAGGTACTAATGTACTATAAAGTGATGTAACTACTTTTATGAATACAATTATGATGATCGTGTAGCATGTGTTGATTTTTCTTTTTTCGATCCCGTTTAGCATTGACCGATAACACCACAGCCTGCATACAAATGGTGCGCAGTCGCTGGTGCAACGAACGTCCAATGACATCTTCGTGGGACTGCCAAGTCAAGTTCCTGCCGATGGTGGTGCCGACCCGAAGCGACCGTCTGCAGGCCGACAACTTGCTTGCGTGCGTGGATAGCAAGGACACGTTCTTGATGAACTGTCCACGGATTAGAGACGACGGTGCAGAGCTATCAGACGAATGTAACCACCTGAAGACCAACAATAGGGGCTGCACCAGAGGCAACTACAAGTGTTCCGCTCAAAAACCGGTTAACCAGGTGAATAAACACAGATAGATATTAATCATACGTAATAATAATTAATAATCTTTGTGCATAGCAATTATTTCCCCAGCAGTGCTCGAATTTAAATAAATAAATAAATCGTGTAAGTAATCGAATATAAGGAACATTTTTAAAAAGATTATATCCTTATACGGTCTCTCCTAAAAAATTGTATTATATGTATTTGAAATTATATTTCTACATTGAAAAACGATCGGACCGTATAGCCCCTATCTGCAGTATAATTACTTTTCACGGTTGATATCTTAATCTGTGTCGTATAGTCACTCCAATTACCTGATTACTGTGATTTTCCATCCCATCTTAAAGGGTATTCATAATAGCCGTTTTTTGCCAGTTGATCACACAATCACTAATTGTTCGATTATTTTTTTGTCAGCCCTATGCATGACCAGGCCGTTTTTTACATTTAATCCCTGCGACATATGAATACAAGGATTCGCGTATTTTGATGCGTAATATTATAAGCACACTACACACGTCATGGAATTCGTACTGTATAAGTATACCATAACCTATACGTATACAGTCTATTTTATAAGTCATAACATGAGCCCTGCAGCATACATATGGGCCATTTAATATTGTTATTGAAACCACTAGTTTAGTATATTTATCTCGGAATCAGTTTTTTTGCTACAAGAAAAGCCGTAGTGTTAATTTTACCTGTTACTTTTCATTGTAGGTATATACATCAAAATTTGTTATAAATAATAAATATATTGTATAAAAACAACAAATCGAGTAATTTTATTAATTTTCTAGACACTTAGGTATATTCAAAATAATTAGCAATTGACAATCCAATTATGAAATAGAACATTGTATCTACACAATCAAATTTACATAATATTCTGTTTTTTAAGGCTGTAATGTTGTTCGGCGGCTGGAGCCGAAACATGGCAGATTTTGTAACAATGAATGACTTGATGTCGTTGAAGGACCGACTGATTTCCTGGGGATTCGCCGAGAACAACATTCGGACGTTTTTCGCCAACGGTATAAACATGAGCATGGACGACGGTGAGTGTTTATTTTATCATATTATCCAAACATTTTCGATCGTTCTCGTGAAATCATTATAATACAATATAACTAAAATATTATAATGATATGTAGGTATATGTATAGTTTTCTATACTTCGTATATATTATTATAATTGCCTGAGTATTGGTTTTGTAGCACTCTTATAACACTATATCATAATACATACCTTTAATGCTTTTCAGACGGCACCGTTAGCTCAACAACAGTTAACAACGTCGAACCTGCCGACAAGTTAAACATACGCAGATACATCAAAGGAGTCTGTAGCGCTGCACGGTGCGCCGACACGTTCTTCCTGTACCTGTCCAGCCCGGCCAGGAGAGACGGAAACGCGATACTCTGGGACGCCAACGGCAACGGAATCGTAAGTCACTCGCCGTAAATACGTACATATATGATGGTTACATAAAATAATATGTAGGAATATAATAATTTGCATCACTCATAGTAGACGAACACGAAACAGTGTTATAAAGGGTTCGGTACCTATTTTCCAAAGCATCCAAAATTCTATACAATTTGAAAAATATATTTTATATATCTGCAGTTGCCACCTTAGTTATAATACTTATCCACTAATATACTGCCCAACACCTATTTACGAGGGAGGGATTGGTACGGTGTATTATAATTTATATTAACAAAAATGACTTCTAGTAGAATGACTTACCTAGTAGAATTGTCTGATTTTGATAACGATTTTTTTTTATCTTAAATAAGTAAACTTTCTGCAACACGCGACATTGAACTCTGATTTTTTATTTCATTTCAAATAAAGGAATAAAATAATTTATAAAAATAAGACTTTTTATAGACATATAACAAATTTGAAAAACCAAGTTCGATGGTGCAGAATAATTCCCTCCATTAATAAAAAAAAAATTGGTTGATTCTTCATGACAAGATCATTATTTCAGAAGATACTAGGACTGCAAAATTACATCAGCAACTAGCGCCTTAAGTATATATAATATAATAATCTGAATATATAATGTGAGACTTATATTGAATCCGCTTTAGATTTGTGGATACAAAAAACTTTGCGACGATGTTATAGGTCAATTACTATTTACTACTCTGTATATCCGGCAAACATGTTTTCATCAAAGAAGGAATAATCCTGTATTTATATATTATTGGCATAATTAAGTCGTGTTTACGGGTCTGTTTACTATAGCAATGGCCATTGGCCAAAACTGTAGATTAGCGATTAACTTAAATAAAACTTTAAGCATTGTTTATGGTGGGGTGGGACCGATTTCATAAGAGATTTTCACAAAAAAATACTCTTAGCCCTTGGGATTTAGCCAGAATATGCGAAATAATTCTAGACACGCCTATATGATTCCCGTATATATTAAAGTTTATATTGACAGTGCTATACGGTGCCGGATACAGTGTTATTTATTATTACCTATATTATGGTATATATTAGGTATATTGGTATATATGTTATCTAAGAGAGGTTTATTATGCTATTCTAATAGGATTCATGTAAATATTTTAACAATTCATCATGATTATGTAAAATTACTAAAATGTAGGTACATAACAAAATATATTATATAGGTCAAGTTCAAAATAAATTATGCATAGTATAAAGCTATATGTACCTAAAGTAAATACCTGCAGCTGTATACAGAGTGGTTTACCCAGCCTGCTTACCTCCATTTTTCTTCAAGTATGCTGCAATTTAAATATGATTTTGGAATTTTTAAATATACTTAAAGATCATATAATTTTCAATTTTTTTTAAATACTACTTTTGATTATAAATACTAGTATTTAATATTTAATTACCAGTATTTATTAGTATAGTATTTATAATCAATGGTACTACATACTCAAGAAGTGTCCTGTGGAGGAACAAATTTCGGATTTTCAAAAGTGAACCCCTCTTTTAATTGAACATTTTTCTGAAAAAATTGTCGAACCATCAGTCAACATCAATACTCAAACGAGTAGTTTTTGAATTAGATGTTTAACTTTGTATACCAATCACGATTTAAGATAGTATTGTTATGCTTATGTTATACCTAGGTATATAAAATAAAAATATGACGTATAATGATCGTATTATATTATAAATTATAAAATAGAAGCGCTAGCGCAGGAAGCAAGATTTAAATGGTACGTAGTCTTATCATAGCTCGTTGCAGTAGCGTATTTATAGGATTTTTCAAGGAAGGTATAAGCAATTTTTAATAGACATTCAGTATACACATATTATTATATACATATTGTATTGTGTACAAAATTTGGTCTCCAGGAGGAATATGACCCCCATATCCCCCCAGTAGATACGCCTATGGCTCGTTGGGCAACCATACTATCTTAATTCGTGATACCAACTAGGTATAGATCCATGATAATAGGGTTGTAAAATATGGGGACTATGATGATTAGGAAAATGTAATTAATAGAATAAATTAGCATTTATAATTTTAAAAAATGATCCAAGAATAACAAATACAATATAATTACATCTATTTTTATATTTTTGAAAAACAATTTTTAAGCATTTATCCTAGGTAGGAATAAACATATTCGAGAAACTACTCTTTCGAATTTTCAATTAGGTGCATCAAAGTTGTTTTCAAAAATGATCTACTAAATAATTTACAGTAGAAAATTTGGATTCTCAATTGAAAAACAGAAGTTTATATCACCACAGGTCACTCCATAAATACAAGAAGTACAAAAAATCTCAAAACTTAGAAAATATGGTCGTTAAGTATATTAAATGGACAGGTAGTAGGTACACATTTTATTATGTTATGTGTGCGTATTGTAAGCATACAGACTATCAACACGTGGTTCGTAAACGGAATTAGTACATCGGTAACTCGAATCTGTGAAAGAGTAAATAAACAATAAAACAAAAACAATGAATAATTGTATGACATAATATTAAGATCAAACGGATAAAACCTTGGGTTGATTACAATAGTACCTACAATTACTACAAGTAAGTAGGTACGTTTCATTCGATCAAATTCACATACACAATATGTTTAGGCGGTAACGTAAAATTATGTATTCTTACGAATAATGTTTGAATTAAAAAAAAAAAAGTCGTTTAACTAGTAAAACTTCTTATAACGATGCGGTCTCGTGTGGGCCGATCCTACCTAGTATTATACATTATAGTATGTACCTATTAATACCTAGCTATAGAATAACTATATGTCAAGTTGTTTCGATGACATAAATCGTGGCGACACGAATTTTATACACCGCCAGATTGGGTGGTATTGTGAAACGGCCAATCCGATCGAATAATACACAATGGTAATAATTTATTATGCACGTAATAATACGAATTTTTGAACGAATTTAAAAATCATTACCCACGCAGTATATTATAAGCAGATATGTTACATTAGAAACGATAAATTATTATTATAGGGAAGTAGGGAACGCATTTTATATGAATTTACTTTGCCGAAAAACCATACGTATCTAAACCAGTAAACAAATAAATAAATAAGTTATAGTAGTTATATAGTTATAGTTAAATTAATTGTGGTAGGTACTCTATAATGATATATAATATTATACAGACATTTTCATACTTTTTTTTGCGTCACATCATATGTATTCAATTGCATTCAACCTACCACTAATGACAAACAATACAAAATGATAAGTCAGTTAAAAAACATTGCAATATTTTTCATATTGTGTGTGATATTAATTAATCAAAAAAAGATGTTTATTCGTCGTTCCATTTTTAGACGTGAGGAATTGCATCACTGAGCATATTTTTATCAACATAATATGTAAATAAATAAATAAACAATTTTTTTAATTCCCGTACAACCGTATACAATCTTCTACGTACATATTAATATATTATTATACTTACTTACCTACCTACCACAGTGCATATATGAGTTTCACAATTAGTTCTCTAATCTATATAGTATATACATATCATGTATTATAGAGACGAAATTATATTAATGTTAAGATAAAAAATTAACATTATTATTACTATATTTAAATTAAGTAATAAAAATTACTTAACATTTTGGATAAATTATTGTAGTTTCAGTTTTACTTTTTTATATTTACTAGCACAATGGTTAAAAAAGAAGAACATTTTAAATTATAGGTCAAGTAAAGAATATCGCGATTTAAAATAAGCTGATTTATAAATGAAACTGTTAAGTGTTTATACTGAATATATCACAACAGAAGTTAAAAAACAAATATCTAATCGAAATAGTCAATAGGCTATTGAAGTTACTAATTAAAATTCATTAAAAATATAAACGAAGTTTATAATAAATTGATAGAATACAAAAAATAAATCAATTAATTTTTATTCTAAACATTTTTAACTTATTCATTCCAAGGTCTGAAAAGAGCGATCGCCTGTACCTATATTATTATAGATATTATTTTCGGGAATAAATTATAAAATTATTACCAAAGACATAAAACGTGGAACATCAACAGAATTTTATGTTAATTTTGACATAAAATGTACCTAGCTTAAAATGATAAAGTTATATGTTTTATGTGGATAATAAAACTAATTTGTGTTCTCATAGAAATTATATAATAAATAAAATTTATTAAAATTGTATTTAATACAATTCTCAAAGTACTATTGGATTTATTCTGATCTCAACTAAGTGTATTAAAATTTATTTTAAATTTAAAATAAAATATGATATAATATTTGATTCTATGCATCTATAAAAACGATGTCGTGTGGATGTATACAACACTTAACATTCACTATTATACACATACTGTGTATTCATATAAATATTAAATATATAATACTATATCGATATCAAGTAGCAATTATTTTATTATTTTTTTAACTACTATCTCCCAAAAATATTATTTAAATATATAATATAGATAAAGATCTGTATCCTATATAACGAGTAGATTAAAATATTTTCATGGAAGCCAGCTTGTTAAAATAATATATGTGTTTCAAGTATGTGGAATCTTCGTTCCCACTGTTCCCAGCACATTCCGATTTGTTTCCGCAGAAACCCGGTTTTAAAGGGAAAAATAAGATGCTCGACCATTCACGTGGTTATGCATAAATACCTATATACACTGTATAGTGTATATGTCCTTATAAAGCGCCACCTGCACATTTACAACATAAATGCTCAATAATTTATCATTTAAAAGGTATATTAATTATACTTTTATTCGATTTATGTATGATAACATCTTTGTTTAGGTATGTTTAAAAAAGATTGAAAATTGAATGCAAGGTTACAATAGTTGCAACACGTGCTTACCTCAATTAATAAATATTAAAAATATATATTGTGCCTGTGTACCAGGTAACTAGTCGAAATAATGCTTCGATTTTCAACTTCAGTATCTTGTTCGATGGGAAAGTCA